AATGCATCATCGCTACTTCTTGTGTTTTTTCTGTCAGGTATTTGTTGTCTGAACATAAAAATCTTTCATGAAAGTGTTCATTGTCCAATTTGTTCACAGCCTGAACTGTTTGTTAACTGATCACCCACTGTACTATAAATTAGTATAGTGTTAGCATAATATCAAGTTATAGACTGACTAAAATACCCACCTATAGCTTTTATGAAATAAAGCATCAAATGATAAGTATAGTACCTTTAGAATATGAAATAGCTGGGATGTTGGTAGAAAAATGCTGATTTTCGAATAAAACACTGACAGCATAAAAAGCAAAAAAAAAAAAAAGATTCTTTATTAACATTGATATTTCACAATGCTTATATTAAATAGCTTTAATAAGCAAAATTTAATGTTATCTCTGCATATGATATCTTATAAAGCTATTGCCATAAACACTGTCAAGAGTAAGGCAATAGCTTTATACTCTTTAAGATTACAATTTAAAAAATGTCAAGTATTTTACAGGACGTATCATAAATCTGGGTGTAGATTTATGATATGTCCATCTTGATGTGTCATGAATCTTGATATTGCATGATGAGTGCCTCCTGTTATATGCTTTTGTATGATGTTTTGCTTCGTTAATAATTTTTTTTGTTTCAGTACAATATACTCATAACAGTTGCTATCAGTCAGCTTATTGACTTTCACTGCAATTATTAAGGACAATAATTTTTCTGGTTATTTATTTCCTATCTCTGTCTTTTTCTTACCATACTGAATATCTTTTCCTTTTGCCACACAACAATGCAGGGGAGGCCCTGCAATGTGTGGTAAAACTATTTTACAAAGATTATAAATCTTTGTAAAATCACATAAATCTCAAAGAACCATCTAGTTTCTTTTCTTGAGAAAGTTCATGCCATGGACTGTATATTCATTCTTAAGTAATGAATCAGATGTTTCTTCTTTTTGGGCAAAGAAACTGCAGTGCTGCTCAATAATTTGGTATAACTGTAAAAGTAACTCTTTTCCTTCCACTGATGAGTTGCCCATAATTGATTGAAATGTCAACAAAGTTGTCAGTCTTGAAGATGGAATTTATCTTATTAACCATTTAAAATTATCACATTCAAACTAAAATTCTCACACATATACCAACACACACACACACACATATATATATATATAAATCTTGATTCTTTCCCAATGGAAGGAATCTGAGAACATCATTCTGGTTCACTTCAGTTATTTGTAATAAAATACATACAGATTCTTTGGTATATACATTGGTATTAGACTTGTTAAATGAAGTGTTTAAGTGATAATACGAAATTTTTTAAAAACACTGACAAAAGGAATAAGTGGCCTGTCCACTGACAGAGTATACAAAATGCTGATGTTTGACAACTATGATAGTAGCAGTTTGTCAGGATATTAGAGAAATTTGACTTTTTTTTTTTTTTAAGTAATGATCAAATAGAATGAATAGAAAAGCACAGTGAACATGCAGATAAAATTAATATACAACATTTCTTGATTATATTCAATATTGAAGTAGGGAGAATGGACTGGGAAAAAGTAAATCAGATAGGCATTTAAAATATTAGTTTTGTTGATGATAAAATCAATAAAAATTTAAGATTTGCAATTTTGTACAGATGTTTAAGTAATAAAGGTAATCTAGCTAATTCAATAAAATGTTTACTGGCAAAAATTTAACTACAGATAATTGCTTTTCAGAAACCATAAATTTTATGAAGTAAATGATACTCATGAAATAATTTTAAATAGAAATAATGATATAATAACTAAAAATCATTAAAAATAATAATTATTTCTTTTTTATTTAAATTCATGTTTAGTAAGTATTTTTAATCTTATAAGATTCTTTCAAATAGTAATAAGAAAAGTTAAAAATATTGTTAATCATATAATGATTAATGAGAATAAGTTACTTAATTGAAGTAAGGCTGAACAAAATATATTTGTTGTTACAAATAGCAATGATTTCTTAAAATTTATTTTTATTTTTAAAGAAACTTAACGAAAAATTGAAATCATATGTAATAACTATTTTATTTTTAAAAATATTTGCTAATAGAAAACACAAAAATCTTTGACACTTTCCTTCACATTTGATGTTTTTCATAGGAACACACAATCACGGTAGAGTCAGCCTTGTTCTGGAGACTCATTCCCAATTCAATATGTAAAATTATTTAAAACATTTATCTGCTGACAGTATAATGTAAAATGCAATTATTGTAAATGGTAAAACAATCAATTTATACTAACAATATTATCAATTTATTATTTACAATATTACAATTATTACAATGTTATCAATCTGTTACTTCTTTTGTCTTCATTCTGAAGTTCATATTTTTTAAATCATTCAGAAAAGCAATCCATAATTCCAAACTAATAGGAATTTACAAAAGTATTATCAGATCTAATTTTAATTTGGCTTTTAAATGAATCTTACAATCTCTTAACTTCTTAAGAATGATAGCGATATAGTCAATAATCTATCAATGATATAAATCTATTCTATCATAGCAATTGTTAGATGATTTTACTATAATTGTGACTCCTGAAGAACAAAGTCAAGGAACATAAATAAAATATTAAAAACTGCATCTTCTCTATTGCATTAATTATTTTTTTTTTATTATTTTTATTTAATTTTTATTTTTAAATATATTAATGATTATTTTCTCATTTAGACTATAAAAATTTAATTTTTTAAAAAAGACTGCTGTATGTTTTTCCAGAAAGAAAATGTTTTATGATAAATATATAAAAAAACTAAATGTTCAAACAATGAATTTTCCATATTATTTTTTCAGAAAATTTTCAAAAATGTTTGCAATTGTTTGCAAAAGTCCCAAAACTTGTCATTAATAAATCTAATTAAAGACTTCTACTTACAGTATTTGCATAAATATTTAATAGAACAGTCTTTTTAAAGAAATTTGTCTGTTCAAAATGAAGTATTTTTCAAGTCATGAGAATTATTACCTGATTAGTCATTAATTAATAATAATTGGCTGTTAACAGTGATAGCTGACTAATTGTTAATAATTGACAATGATTTAACAAATATTTATAAACTACTGATACTTATACAGAAGTAAATCAGTTTTTATTTCTAAATATTTTCAAATCATTTTCAACTTCCAGACAACTTACTCTTTTTTGAGTTCCTTAATGTACTCTTCACATGTCAAACTCATATTTTCATAACAAATAATAATATACGTAGAAACTGGATGAAGATCACTGAAATAACAGAAAACACACCTTCTTTTTATCCAACAAATGAATTTAATGAGTCAATAATGTTTTGGCTCTCTATTTTAGTTTCATTAAATCATTCAATTTCTTAAGTTATCCTGACCTGTAACTGAGGAAGACACTATCAAATAGAGGTAGAAAGCATTATTAATTCATTAAATTTATTTGCTGGATCAAAAGAATATACACTTTGTTTTCTATTTCCCATATTTTCATATATTTTCAGCCATAAATGGAAATATTTACCTATCATACAATTTCTAGCAATTTTAGCTGTATTAAAAAAAAAAGTAATTGCAAAAATTATTTTTATCCTGTTTTTCTCTTCAATTTTTGGCTTGAATGTTTTAAATAGTGTCTTATGTTTTGTAAAACACATTCACTGTAAAAAAACTAAAACATTCCTACCATAATAAGATAATTTATAACTTATTTTTATCTCTCTGGGAGCCAAATCCCTTATAAGACATGCAACTCTATTGCTTGATTTTCGAACATTTTTAGGAATGCATTATGTCTGAAAAGTGAGCATGTCAGTATATAAATTTAATTATTTATCATTGATTTATTAGTGAGGACATTAATGAAAGTATTGATTTAATATTCATTTACATGTATTTTAACATATCATCTGAATAGTCGTACTTATATTTTTTATTTTTCCTACTGAATTATTTCATCCTTCAGCTATGAAGAAAAAATAATGCATAACTGATGTTGGGTTAAGAGAAAAATGTGCTATTTATGAAAATAATGGCTGTAATTTTTGCTTCTGTATGAGAGACTAATGATCTTCTTTAGATAGTAGATACTAGAAAACAGATTTGTAACTTTACAACTTTACCAAGCTATGACTTTTTGGTAAAATTCTCCACCAAAATTAAAGCTATAGAATTCTATTCTTTAAAAGTTTTTAAAATATAAACTTCCCACTTATCACATTTTTCTCTTATGGTTTATTGGTATATTTAATATTCTTTTGAAATATTAAAAATTGTACTCAAATTTGTTTTGAAAATTAACTGAAATAAAAAAAAAATTTTTTTAAAGTAAAAATAATTTATTCAAATATAAATAATTTACAAATAATTAATATTCATTAGAGAATGTTTTTAATTTTATATTTTAATAATGAATTAATTACTTGACCTTCAGTCTTTTATATTCTGCTGTAATATTGAATAGTTTTCAGATAAAAATTGGCACAGATTTTATGTATTATTAAAAATAAAAATTTTATTAAATTTTTATTTGAAATGTGTTTATTTAGATATACTTTGATTTTATTGATGCCTATGTTTAGATTATTCCAAAATCTAATTAATTTTTAATGTGTTCATATCTTTGAATAAACATTTTGCAAGATGCATTGGTTTTTGATCATTGGCTGAGAGGCCAAGGTAACAATAGTTTGCTACAATATATAGGAACTTCTGTCCAAGCATTTTTTATAATGCTTGAAATGAAAGAGACATCTGTATAACAAAATGCTGATATAATAAATTAATACTGATAATTATTGATTATGATAATTTGTTTTTAATTGATTGTTTGAATTGAATTGATTGTGATTAATGTCATTAATAATTAATTTTATTTTTTATATTTATTACTTACAAGATTAAATATTATGAAAAAATCTATAGTTATTGCGGTTAACTAAATTTTTAAGTTGTTCTAATGATTGTATAATTGAAATTATCTTTTCTTTGTTTATGTAGGTATTTTCCAATTATAAATATCCAGCACCAGATGAATTAGAAGAATATAAAACATTTTTTTCTAATATCGATGAATCATGCAGACATATTTCATGGTCAAACATTGATGTGAGATCAAAACATGAAACTCCTGATGAGAAAACAACAAGAGAAAAATCTCAATTTTATAATGTTCGTATGGAAGAACAAAAAGAGAAAGAAAGATTTGAAGAAGGTCTTGGTCGATTACCACGTCACCTTGAATCTATTTCGACTCTTCTGCTTTTTAATATGCCAGAAAATCCGTAAGTTTTTAGAAAGTTCTATTGATTGCTGAGCTTGAATTAACAGCTTACAGAAGAATTTTGTTTTATGAAATAATTTGTTCTATATAGTTTCATTTGAATAAACATTAAAAATATATATGAGACCATAATTTCAATTTAATTATAAGATAGCGATTATTTAAAGAGAGTTAAAATGTTTATTTTAAGAAGCATATTTCATACAGTCATAATAGAAAGTTTAAGTCAATCATAAAAGTTCTAAATTGTAAAGCATATGATCGTAAGCTATATATTGTTTAAAAAAATTATATAAAGTTGAATTTTTTAATTTGACTACACAGCATAGAGCATGCTTAAATGTTTCAATCTGGCTCACTATCTGCTTTTGGTAAAAATGTTTCTTTTGTCAAAAAGGTGTACCCAAACATTCATAAATGCATTAACAGTAATTTAAATTTATATAATACAAACAAATAATGTATGTGAAATTGACAGTGTTTCATATTATTGGATTTATACACAAATATTTATGTAATATCCTTATGAGTATATTTTAGCTCTAGTATTATGGCCCATTTAAGAACAATTTAACCTAATTTGTCTAAGAAAACACTTATGTTGTATACTCTAAGAATTTAAAACAATTTTTTTTTATTATTTAATCTTTAATTATCTCAGCTATATGCATTATTTAGGAAATTTTTGTTTTTTTAGGTTTTTCTAAAAATAATAACATTCACTTTAATAATATTATTGAAGTGAATGTTATTATTTTTAGAAAAACCTAAAAAAACAAAAATTTCCTAAATAATGCATATAGCTGAGATAATTAAAGATTAAATAATAAAAAAAAATTGTTTTAAATTCTTAGAGTATACAACATAAGTGTTTTCTTAGACAAATTAGGTTAAATTGTTCTTAAATGGGCCATAATACTAGAGCTAAAATATACTCATAAGGATATTACATAAATATTTGTGTATAAATCCAATAATATGAAACACTGTCAATTTCACATACATTATTTGTTTGTATTATATAAATTTAAATTACTGTTAATGCATTTATGAATGTTTGGGTACACCTTTTTGACAAAAGAAACATTTTTACCAAAAGCAGATAGTGAGCCAGATTGAAACATTTAAGCATGCTCTATGCTGTGTAGTCAAATTAAAAAATTCAACTTTATATAATTTTTTTAAACAATATATAGCTTACGATCATATGGTTTACAATTTAGAACTTTTATGATTGACTTAAACTTTCTATTATGACTGTATGAAATATGCTTCTTAAAATAAACATTTTAACTCTCTTTAAATAATCGCTATCTTATAATTAAATTGAAATTATGGTCTCATATATATTTTTAATGTTTATTCAAATGAAACTATATAGAACAAATTATTTCATAAAACAAAATTCTTCTGTAAGCTGTTAATTCAAGCTCAGCAATCAATAGAACTTTCTAAAAACTTACGGATTTTCTGGCATATTAAAAAGCAGAAGAGTCGAAATAGATTCAAGGTGACGTGGTAATCGACCAAGACCTTCTTCAAATTTTTCTTTCTCTTTTTGTTCTTCCATACGAACATTATAAAATTGAGATTTTTCTCTTGTTGTTTTCTCATCAGGAGTTTCATGTTTTGATCTCACATCAATGTTTGACCATGAAATATGTCTGCATGATTCATCGATATTAGAAAAAAATGTTTTATATTCTTCTAATTCATCTGGTGCTGGATATTTATAATTGGAAAATACCTACATAAACAAAGAAAAGATAATTTCAATTATACAATCATTAGAACAACTTAAAAATTTAGTTAACCGCAATAACTATAGATTTTTTCATAATATTTAATCTTGTAAGTAATAAATATAAAAAATAAAATTAATTATTAATGACATTAATCACAATCAATTCAATTCAAACAATCAATTAANGTATTTATAATTTGATTCCTTTTTCTCAATTTTTAAGATATAAGAAATATGTTATGTTAGATCCATTGGGGGTGGTTACAAAAGTGAGAAAAAGTGTAGAAGAACAAGAAGAAAAAATTGGATTAGCACCAATTACAATCACTCAAAGGGATCAACTTGAAAAATCTGAAAAAGAAAGTTATAATTATAATCCTGGAATGGGTGTGGTTCCTGAAATGGATGTTCCTCTTGCTTTACCAGATTTACCAGGTTAGTTTTAAAACAGTTTTCCATATCATCTTTCAGAAAGTTTGATACTTTTTATCTGCCCTAAGCATACAAATTATTCCATAAAGAATTTTTTTTTAATTTTTATATATAGATGACTCTTAATAACTTGAATTGGAAAGGATAGAGAAAAATTTTTGAGTTATGGAAATTATAATCATTACTATAATGAGATTGTAAATATTGCAATACAAACAATACATTTAGACTTGGATGTTATTATTTTTCCATTATTTCTTAGAATCATATATGCAAAAAAATTAACAAAATATTCATAATGTTAGTTAAAGACATCTGTTATGTAAGTTTGATGTACACTATCTGTTGCTACTTGCTTTGCAATGTCTTAGATGTGTTCAGTTGCCTCCAAAACATCTTGTTTCACATTTGTGATGTAGTTTCTAGAAAAATCCATTTGAAAAGTTAAAAATTAGCACTATCTAAAAGTTAGCTAATTTGCATTTCAGGATAAAGTTACTTTGTGTGAAATGCTAAGTTTTTTTATGTCATGGCTTAGGAAGCAGTATCATGTCAAGTAACTGTGTACTTCTTCAAGTATTCATATTTTATTTCCAGTTTGTCTTAATGTGGTTTTTATGAGTTTTCATGAAAATGTAACAGAAGCACACAATGTCAAATGTGAAATAATTTACTGAAATCTTAGATTTACGGTTGTCAAAATAGGCTCTCAAGATTGTTTTGATTTATACAGAGACAAACTTAGTGCCAGATCTAACAAACTTCTTGTGGGATTCTTGGAATGGGCTACGCAAAACTATTGCAGATGGACCCTCAAGTCTCTTATATTAAACTTATGCATCACATATTAACTTGAGCTATCTGTAGATACTATAGTAACATCATAATTTCTTTATACATGGTGTTTATAATTAAAGTTCCACTTTGAAATGGCCATAAAATGAAAACTACTGGACAGAATGTTATCAAACTTGGTAATAGTGTACAGGACATCATGCGATTTTATTTCCTACAAAACAAAAATAGTTCAAAAACTCACCACCAATGGGAAATGACACTGTCTGCAATATTGTTAAACGAAATAAGACATGAAGATATAGTTGAAAACCAGGCTACTTTACCGCTATTTTTAATAATTAAACACTGGGGAAAAACGCAATACACCGACATGTTCGTAACATTCCTCCTGATATGCTAAGAGCTAGTGTTGAGAACACAGTAATGCGATGTAACTTGCTTATCAAAAATGGTGGACACCACATTGAATGTGCTCTGTAATGCATTTTAAAACCGTTTAACAACATTTTCAGCAATGTCTTCATGTCTTATTTTGTTTAACAATATTGCAGACAACACCATTTCCTGTTGGTGGTGAGTTTTTGATTTTTTTTTTTTGAAGGAAATAAAATCCCATGATGTCCTGTACACTATCACCAAGTTTGATAACATTGTCCAGTATTTTTCATTTTATGGCCATTTCAAAGTGGAACTTTAATTATAAACACCATGTATATTTTAAAATTTGCAATTTAAGAAATTTAATGCTTAACTGAAATTATTTTATTTTTTTATTTGAGTTTTAGGTTTATTTTAATTATTTGAATATAATTCAGTGCTTTCTTTCCTGAAGGCATATAATATTGTGTGTAATTAGATATAGAACAGTATGTCTAAATTGTCAGAAAATAGGGAATTTGTTTATATCACAAAAAAGTATTTTGTTAATTTAATATTATATTTGATTACTGTTTGGTATTATAATTTATTAAATTTTAGTAAATGAAGAGATACAAATTTGAATTTCTTAATCTCAAAAATTTTAATATTTTACAAAAATTCTCAAAATATAATTGAAATTACAAATTATAACCTATTAATTGCAGTGTTTTACTCTACAAAAATGTACACTGTTTAAAAAATAAGAAATTTATCTGAATTATTTTAGTACAAACCATAGTTTTTTTTTAATCTACTAGCCTAATAAACTTTAACAAATTAGTATTTCCTCATAAGTTCTAAAGAGCATGTTGCATTTAAATTCTAGGTGTAGCAGATGATGTACATTATAGTGCTGATTTAGGACCATCAATTGCACCTTCTTTACCTCTTCCTGATTTACCAACTATTGTGCCAGAAAGTCCCTTGGAATCGCATCATCCACCTCCACCTCTACCACTTGGTTCTTTTGAAACATCATCAGTAACCAAACAGTTGGCACCCCCACCCCCACCACCACCACCTCCGCCAGCTCCTCCGGATGCATCAGTCCCAGTGGGGCCACCTTCTGCAGGACTGCCGCCGCCACCACCACCTCCTCCTCCACCTCCACCTCCACCTGCTCCAACAGAAGCTACAGAAAATGATAATTTATCACAAGGCCCTCAAGAATCGAAACAACTTGTCAATGGGGTTCCAGAGGCAGTGAAGAATCCTGGAGATGCAAGAGCAAATCTCTTGGAATCCATACGTCAAGCAGGTGGAAAAACAAAGTTAAAAAGTGTCAAAGAAAGAAAAATCGAAGTAAAGAAAAAGAAACAGGAAGAAAAAGCTGGTGCAAGTTCAGGTGATTTAATGGTTGATTTATTCAATAAATTACAAATGAGAAGAAAAGGAATATCTGGCCGTACAAACAGTGTGAATGAAGGTGGCCAAGATCAGGCGGCACCTCCAGCTACCAGTCCCATGGGGAGAGTACTAAATATGATACCACCTCCATCTAATACGGCAGAATCTACGTACACAGATGACGATGAATGGGATTAACAAATGTANGTTTCCTAATTTCCACATCCACATTCCTAATAACTGTATTATATTTACTGCTTAAATTCTAATTTTTTAAAATAATTACATTCTTTTACATTCTGATTTACTATCATTGTTGTGTAACTATTTTATATTTTAAGTAATGTAAATGGCCATATGCATCAGTAATCTTTCACATATACAGTACATTGCATCTGGTTTTAAGTGTGTTTTATATTTTCTAATTACTTGACACAGTTGACCCAAGATGTCTTTCTTTCATTTAAAATATACTGCCAAGTAAGCCTAATTCACTATCACTGACATCTCAATTTGCATATTGAAATCCAAATATTTTTGAAAATATGAAGTTTCGTTCTTTTTTCTTGTGATAATTTTTTTCTTTGTTGCCAATTCCGATCATTTTATCATTTAATGAATTATTATTTAAGTTTCATTAATACATTAATGCTCAGAGTTATAGTAATAATAATATCTACATAATAAATTCAGTCACCACACAGAACTCACCTAAGAATGAAGTGTTTGAAGAAAGTGGATAAGGTGACATTCATGGAAAAGATGACTATAACACAATAATGCGATTATAGTAATCTTTTTCATAAATGTCTTATCACATACACTACATACAACTCTAGAAACATTATACCATAATCACAATATTTACATTGTATTACAAAAGGCAGTAAAACTTGAACACATATCCTGTAGCCTGAAACTTTTTAAACATGTGATACAACAAAGTAAGTACCTATTTGTATGCTGTTAATCATTTCCACTAGCTATGCCTTGACTTTAAGTTATTGCATTTGGCTTAGTATCAAGTGAGTATTCTATTATTGTGATGGTGATGTACACCACCATAATAATTTCTAAAATGATTGTTGTTTTTGGACATATATCTTTTTCTAAGTATTTATCTTTGACATTTAAAAATCTGTTTTGATTTTTAATAAATTGTATTTCAAAATAAATGTTACGAGTTAATATGATTTTCTGAATTCAAGACATTACTTGCTTTACAGGAAGAAAAAGCTGGTGCAAGTTCAGGTGATTTAATGGTTGATTTATTCAATAAATTACAAATGAGAAGAAAAGGAATATCTGGTGAGCAAACTTTGTTAGTTTATAAATAATGCTTAGAGTATTAATCATCATCATCAAATTCTTATTTTAGTTTTTACAAGGTGATTAATATTACAAAAACCAAAGTGAAGATTTTTTATAACCAATTATTAAAGTTGGAACAAAGATGAATCACAAAGCAAACACCATTAATACTTTTCTAGTAACCAATTTATTGAGAAAAATGAATATTTTTGGCTTATGTAAGAAGACTACTTCAGGTTTAACTACAGAATTCGAATTTGACATTTTAAAATGGAACTAATCAAGCATTCATGATATATGAATGCTTGATTAGTTCCATTTGTTAACTTACAAAGCATTCATGACATATTATGTAGTTTTGAGTATTTAGCTCTTTTAATATTTAAGGCAATATTAAAAGAGGATTGCATTAACAACAAAGACTGTGAAGCACTGTCTGTTGTTTATGCCAGACAGTGTTGAAGATCATTGTTTGACTACCTCTTGAGAAACTTATTATTGGACATAACTTATAATTGAAATAAATGAAAAAAATGTCCTTTGTGATAATTATACCATCAAAAAACTAATTGACTTGTGTAAATGAATTTTAAATGACATTCATAAAATTATTTTTTTAATAAATTAAACATGCTTTACAATTGCAAAGAAGAATTATTAACTATTTGTGAATATATAACAAAAATATCTATAGGAAAATCCACTTCATAGGAAAGATGAGGTAAACTACTGATGGGTGATAAAATATGACATCAATGGATGGTGTGAAAAATTAAAGAAAAACTGCTACAACAACAATGCCATATAAGCACATGTTGGTAACACAGACAAAGATAAACTACCAGGTAAGGGGTAGTGTATCTTTAATCTTTCACACCCTTAGACAATATTACAGTCAACCTTTTCTTGGTTGATAACCTTATCTTTCCTATCCTTCATTAGCATTCCTCCTGTCCTTTTACAATTGAAAATTCCCACTTAACATGGTTCAAAATGAGGTAACAGTTTGAGGAAATGTGAAAAGTATAATGCTTGCTTTACACAAAATTCAACATTGTAACAAAGTGTAATCTGCTGTAAAACACAATTTTAATCTTTCAAATCTTTACCATCTAAACTAGTCTGGTCTGTATTCTATGAAAAATGAGTCAATTTAAATGAAAAAGATTTGAAAGATCAAAATTATTATAATGTTATCATTTACAAAATTATATTTTGCATCACTCCTAAAGGAAAAAAAATGATATTCTCAAAGAATAATCATGACATTTCTTGTGTATTTAACTGTAAGTATTTTTAATGTCTTAGTAACATTTTAAAGTCACTTTTGAACAGTACATGCAACATTAATGGAAGAATTGTACTGGATCTGCTTTGACATAAGTATATATGTAATTTTTTTAATGCAAAAAATGGAATACAGAAAATAAAAACTGTCTTCACTTATATAAGTTTTCTATTGCCATTCGTATAATTAAAATAATTGTATGTTAAATAAAATTAAAGCATTTGCACAATAATGTATTAATATTGATTTTGTTAACTTACAAAATATAATCATCAATTGTTAGAACATAAATATACAGAGTGTTCACTTAAACATTGTCCAGGAGCAAAAATCTTTCCAGTATTTCATAAGAGTAAGTATGTAGTGCATGCTTGTTTCAGTACTAAACTAACTAAAGGGAATCAATTTGAGACAATTTAGCATAAAATACAAATAAGCACTAACCTAAGCTCATTATGGTTATAATGGATAAAGACAACATGCAAAAATGGATACAAGTGAGCTTTATTTTGTTAGAGAATATGTTCAAAATTACCACCATCTTCAGTTGGAATACAAAGATGTAGATAGTCAGGTTTAGCATTATGAACAGCATGTAGCATTCCTGATGTCCCATTTCTCAGGTCTATCATATGTGTCTCCCCAGTCCACCAACATTATACACCAGTGCTTTTAGGTGATCCTGCAGGAAAAATTCAAGGGGGCCAATTCTGGGAAATATGATGGCCATGGAGTAGGCCTTTGTTGTCCTAGTCAGCAGTTGCCAAACTGTTCTGAAAATCACTGACACACACCTTTCTGGGAATGGAGCTGGTACACCTATCATGCTTGTATTGAACCTGTTGTGAATCATCCAGAGTCACATAACTGATCCAGAAATAAAAGATTAACTATTTTAACACTAGAACAGGCATACACCATATGCATACTCTCTTGAAATGCTGGAAAGATCTCTTGTTTCTGTATAAGTATAAGTGGACATACACTATAACAGTGTTTTTCAACCTTGAATACGCGACCCCTTTACAAGTTAAAAAAATTTTGCCGACCCCCCACGGCCATATTAAAACTCTGTCAGTGATTTTAAAAACTACATATTTAATTTTGTTTCTGTTGAGATTTAAATATCGATTAAAAAACTAATTGTACTGTAAAATAAACAGGCACAGCCTTCTCACTGAAATTGTAATTTTTTTTTTTATTGTAGTGTAGGACCTACAAACACTTGTCTTTTTCTTTTACTCGCGATCCCCCCCGTGTATGGCTTTGCGATCCACAGGTTGAAAAACACTGCACTATAAAAACACAAATGAAAATAATTTTACAATGATCGAAATTGTTCTTAATTAAATTATTTGGATACATATGTTGTTACAATGCTGCATGTGTTGTTGCTCTTTTCCAATAATTTTTATTTAAGACAATAACAAAATAGTCATATTATTATTATTATTAATCACAAGCAGAATATGAAGTTTTGAATAAAAACTGCACCAGAATTATTATTGTGTACTACTTTGAAAAAAATTATTGTTTCCATTAATTATTGTATCATATAAATGTATGAGCTTCTCTGGTAGTCTTCCTAAAAGGAATTGGTGGAAACTTGTGGTCATTGAGTTACATAAGAAGACACGACACCCGCCTATCTAACAAAATTTTGCAATATTTGATGATTGTAACCATAAAGGGAATCATGTTTTACTGATTCCCTTTATGAATTACATGAAATATATTCAATATTCAATTATCTGATAAGATTACAGACATAAGTTACTGTTAATTTGATTTATTATAGGAGTAAATCAGTTTAAAATGAATATTTTTTTTATTAGGCCGTACAAACAGTGTGAATGAAGGTGGCCAAGATCAGGCAGCACCTCCAGCTACCAGTCCCATGGAGAGAGTACTAAATATGATACCACCTCCATCTAATACGGCAGAATCTACGTACACAGATGACGATGAATGGGATTAACAAATGTACACAACTTCAGAGTTTGTATTATATATATATATAATTTGAATGATAAGCACATCTAGAGTTTTTGATAATATTAAAAGAAATGTTGATGTAAATTGATTTGTTTCAGAATCATAATTTTTGAAAAATAAAATTAAACATGCAGAAAAAAAAATTAATTTTTTACAATATGGAATGCTTTCTCCATAGTATGTAACAAATACACACACTAAATTATTTTGATGTAATTGGAATTGCCTCTTTTTAATCAGTTTTTGTTCAAAGTCACTGAATACTTTTTATTTTATTTGGAAGAAATGCCCAAAGAATATGTTACAGCAATAAAATTGTTTTTCAATCACATAGAAAATATTTTTTTTTAAATTGTGGCAACAGATTTCCTTAATTCATGAGAAAATGAAAGAAAATTATAATTGAGTCACAAGATATTGATGATTTTGTAAAAATTTAATAACAAATTTTGATTATTGATTGGTCACAAATCAGAGGTTCTGAAGATGAGCTACCAGTCCTCTTACACAATAGTGGATACAAGTTACCATTGGCATGAAAAAAAATTTTTGTTCAACTTCAAAACATTTTTTATAAATTTATAATTGTATTGCAAATGGTGTACTAAATCATATATATCATCAACAAGCAATTATTAATAAAAGGTACTTATTAATTACTCAAATATTTTAAATTTTTTTGAGTTGTCTCCCTTTTGTACTTTGGGATCTGCCACATTGATTAAAATAATTTGAATATCTCAAATACTTTCTAATACTCGGATATCCATGGATAGTATTTAACCATCTCTAAATTTTATATTGTGAAGACAATCATGTAATATGTTTACTTTTACATATTTCAATCTTACATAAAATACCTGTTATCATTCCTGAATATCAAGTAGCCTAACACAGTAATGTTTGCATGCAATGTTGTGTATTTAAACTGACTGATCAATATGAATCAATCCGTTTCAGTAACTATATTCACATACAAAAATATTTCTTCAGTAAGGTACTTAATCATTATCAAAATGAAATCAATAGCAAACTCTTAATTTTCTTCTATAACTAATCTGAAATTGTTAAAGAAAAAAACTGATGCAAGCTCCAAATAGGGTTTGATTTAAGGTGTGTTAGTCTTCTCTGATCAATTCTTCAATCCACAAGGTCTTGGTTTACATTCTTTTAATACTTCTTTGAGAAAATTCTTTTTTAAATTGCAATTGCCATTAGAGAGATGATTTTTTTAGTTAATTCCTTCATTCCAGTCTTCAACTACATACAATATTACACACAATATTGTGGATAAAGATAGGATAAAAAATAAAGTTTTGTTTGGTTGTTTAATTTCATTTTCAGAATGAATGAGTCAATCATTTACAGAAAATCCTTTTCCAATCATTAAAATTTCTTGCATTCACTGGAACTTCAAACATTCATATCTTTTAACTGGATTCAAAGTTGTTCCACTATACATTTACAAAACAGGTATTACTTACATCATGCAATCAATTGCTTCCAAGAAAGTATCAAGTAGTATGCTAACTTTTACACAAATTGAATAGGAATGAATTACCAAAATAAAAGGACTAAAATCTAGAAAATCTTTTTCCAATTATATCTAATTAATAATTTAATTACATTAAAAGCCACTGAAACAAGAACTGAATCTTCCTTTTTTACTCCATTTTTAGTCAGTAAATTGATTGTTTTCAACTCTGTCGAAGAAAAAAGTCTGAATGTTTAAAATATAGATAAATATATGATAGCCAAATCATAAATGCAAGCAGAGGGTGATTTAATACAGTACAGAATCTATTTGGATTGAGATTGCATTAAACAAGAAGCCTATATACTGGAATTCCATATAAATCTTATTATTATAAAGAAAGCAATAGTATTAGGTCTACTGGAAAGTTCTGTCCGTTTTTATAATATAAAAAAATAATAAATTTTTCATACCTTGAATAAACTTTATTGAATAATATAATTTCTGTCATTATTTATGACTTCTTGCCAGCGTGACAGCAATTTGTATATCCCACTTTTAAAAAATGCCTTATCCCTAGAGGCAAAAAATTGAACCAGTGCTTGTCTGATATCATCTTCAATCTGATATCATTTTTGAATTTTTTGCCCTGCAAAAAATTTTGTAAGGACAGAAACAAGTGATAATCGGAGGGTGATAGGTCCGGGGAGTATGGTGGATGTGACAATTTCCAGCCTAGCTCTGTGAGTTTCTGACGAGTCCCCGAAGCAGTATGTGGCCTGGCATTATCATGAAACAGTATGATGTCCTTCCTATTGAACATCGCCAGCCTGTTTTCTTGAGTGCTGTTTTTAAATTATTTAATTGCTGACAGTACTTCTCCGAATTCAGCTTTTCATTCAGTTTTAACAGCTTAAAATGTATTGGTCCTCGAATGTCCCACCATATACACAACATTCTCTTATTCAGACTCAACTTCGGTTTAGAGGAAAGGGGCAGGTTGTCCAGATTCACAATATGCCCTTTTCCTTACGATGTTTTCATACATAATCCACTTTTCATCTCCAATTATCATCTAGTCCAAGAAGGGTTCGATTTTGTTCCATGCAAGAAGAGATGTGCATATGATGACTCAATCATGCAGATTCTTCTCACTTAACTCGCGGCACCCATCTCAAATATTTTCACACCAATCCTAGTTTCCGAATATGATTTGAAATGGTTTGTTGAGCTGAGTCAAGCTTTTCCGCAATCTCCAATGTTGTCAAAAAGGGATTTTGACATCATCAATCTTGACTAACATTATCTTGACAGTATCATAGTCGATCAAACATGGTCGCCCAGAGCATGGCTTATCATAAAGGTCGAAATCACCTATTTGAAATTTTTCGAATTATCTTCTGCATGTTCTATCAGAAACTGTACCTCCACCAAACACTTTCAATAAATTTCTACATGCTTCTGCAGCATTTCTTCCTTGTTAGAATTCGTGGCGTAAATGAACTTTATCAGTAGCCATTTGTATATGATCGCATCTCACTTAATATTAACATGAATCATCATTGTTTTAGTTCATTTGCTAGGTCAGTATTCAGTGATATTCACAGACATTCAGTGATAAAAAGAGAGAGCCAAATATGCATCAAATGAATATGTGCATGGTTGTTGAAACTTGTAACTGAAACAAACAGAACTTTCCGGTAGACCCAATATAATGAAAAGTGATGTTTGTAAGTTTGTGGTGATCATATGTATTACATCTTAGTTTTTGTTATTTTAATAAATTTTGTGTGTCAATCTGCCATTTATTGTAAATATATATTCTTAAAATCAATTCTTATAACTTATTGGTATAAGATAACTTCAATATTATGAAAAAATGCTTACTAATTAACAGAAAATTTCATGATTGAATTTTATTTTAACATTTGATTTTTATAAAAACAATATTACAAAAAATATTTTATTTCCGTATTGATGAAAATCAGTTTGTAAACAATTTGATATCAAGCATGGATAATTTAAATACAAATCAAATGTTTATTTTCAAAAAACTGTCAAATTTTTACATGATATATTCCTTTTGAGTACTTTTGCTACTTGGAATATAGAAACGTTTGTTGCTTACTTTTTAATGTATAATAGTTTTTTAGTTTGCATAAAAGTCCAAACAGAGTTACTAATACTGCTATTTTGGTTTTCGTGTAAAATAAGCAACAATTATATATTTATATATAGCAGGAATTTCGCTTTTGTGACTCCTATTATATATTAGTGCAGTCGTAATTACAAACATTTATAGAAAATTATAATTTCTGCAGTAATAGCAAACATTATAAAAGTAGCACTTTTTCCTGGTTGCAAAAAAGATATGGGAGAGTTTTATCCAAATAATTTTCTTTTTCCCCTCGCTTTGCCTCCGGACAACATCAGCCATACCGCTAGAGACGTTTGCATATCCAGAAGCATGTAAAATTTGTTGGCTAAGAGTGTAAAAAGTATTGGCAAAAAAAATCACCCTGTACATCATGTACAATTAAAGTTACTCTTTTGCATCAATCGGAACTGGAATGTTAACTTTTTCTAAATACTGATACCGATAGATGATAAAACTTGTTTCTCTTGTGGTGTGTGATGTTGCATAAATGTGTTGTAACATGATTGCTGAGACAGAGTGTGCAGAAACTGAGTCAGAAAGTTTTGCATATTAATGTGATACAGCGGATCGGATATTGCATCCGGATCTTCATCGTCACAATCCTCCGTCTCGATATCATAACCTATAGAAAAAAAACAAGAAATTTGTTATACAGATTTAATAAGATTAATATTATTAATCAAGCAGAATTTTAAAGGAATTAATTAATATCAGCTACTTTTTACAAAAAAATAATCGTTCATAACTCTAGATAATAATACATCTTACAAAAAAGTAAAATCATTCCCATAAAGTCTTTATGGGGAAAAATTATGATATTAGTTTCAAAGTATATAGAAAAATCCAGCTTTATTTCCATTAATTAACAATAATTCTTTAAAATTCTAAGTACTCTATGTAATAGTGTCACTAAGTATAATACAAGTAGTCCTACAGTTTGTGCACTTTTGATTGATGATCATTTGTTTTAACATTAATCACAGAAATTTTTGTCCTATTGTATATACCAGTGTTTTTCAAGGTTTATCAATCCACAGACTACTTAAATCGAGTCTAGATGAACCAATGGCATCTATGCTCTTATCCACTTATCCTGTAAATACCATCTTATATGTGTAAGAAAATATTTTATCTTTTCAGTAACTCAATATAAGCAGTACATCACACAAAAATGTTTTTTCCTCTATCTAAACAGCACAGAATTGCATTTTAATAAAATGACTAGGTCAGTCTGTGAATCACCTAACACAAGCTTGCAGACCATATTTTAAGCACCACTGCTATATAACATTTGTTTAGTATAATATGTGAGGAGTCACCTCTGGTGATGTATGGAGAGTTTGCTTATTAACTCACTACTTTCAACAAGCAGCTACTATATTAATCGAGGATTATCCAATAAAATGATGATTTTATTTTTAAACTATTTTTTTTTGGTTTATTATTAGAATTGATTTTTTTATGCTTCAAATTGTACTATTCAAATAGTAACAATAAAATAATGAATTTTTTTCAACTGCTTAGAATTCACAGAAAATATTTGAAAGACCATAAAATTTCCATTTATATTTTGCTCAGAAAAATTTTATTATAAGTTTAAATTATATAAGTATTTGTTTTAACTATAGAAATTGTAATCATTTACTACAATATTTTTTTCATAATTGAAGTTTAGACTACAATCGACCCCCTTATAACACTGTTGATTATTCCGTTTTATATGAATTCCATGTTGTACGAGTCACTTAGATTTTACAAATACGTGAGCCGTTCACAGCCCGGCATACGTATTTGTAAAATCTAAGTGACTCGTACAGCATGGAATTCATATAAAACGGACTAATCAACAGTATTATAGGGGGGTCGACTGGTATTTACAAAAAATTAACTTTTTTGTAAATAGTCTAAACTTCAATTATGAAGAAAATACATCCTGAGTAATCACAAAACTTGTAACTATATGCAAATAACGTAGATACTTGTAACTACCACTAGGGGGCCAGAAGCAGTTTAAAAGGTGAATAAAAATAATATGGTGTGAAGAATTTCTTTGTGTTTTTAATTGTAAAAAGTGTCAGAACCTACAAGAAAAGGCTGACACTCGATCTTTTTTAACCTCGTGAAGTTTTCTACCAATTTTTACCTGTGTTTAAGAAGAGTTCTTCAAAGCAATTTTTTTAAAACTGTTACTTCTGTGGTAGTGTATAAGGGATAAAGATGGACTCAAAAGTTAATTTGACTTTTTGTAAATAGTCTAAACTTCAATTATGAAGAAAATACATCCTGAGTAATCACAAAAATTGTAACTATATACAATATTTTTATTTGAAAACTGTTGTTTATAAAAAAAACAAATAAATATAAGATAAAATTATTTCAAAAGTACATACATTATGTAATATAATAATAAATATTCATGTATAATATACTATACTATTAAATATAATTGATGGTAAAAGAATCACCTGAAAAATTTGCTGCAGGAACATACTGAGACATAATACGTGACATGGATGATGAATCATTTTCTTTCATATCGATTGACTCATCCTCATCCTCATCCCAATTCTCCATCTAATCACAGAAAAATTTTAAACTTTTAGGAAAAAGCATGTGTGTGTATGTATATAAAATATAATTCTTACATCAGAATAATCATCATCCTGTTGAGTCATGGCCTGTTCCATGCTATTAGATAATTCATTGATTAATAACTTATAAATTTTTATTACTACAGGAATTTCAGTCCACTTTGGTGGTTCTGTAAATAATGCATTTTATTAATCTCATTAAATTTATGACTGTTTTAAAATAAAAAATGTATAATATATTAGAACTAAAACTTACTCTGTGCGCTTTTTGTACGTGTTTTAATTCCCTCTTCTAAATCAATAATTTGATCTCCTTTAACGTTAACTTCTGTAAGACGACGATCATTTGTTTTAATGCTATGTTCCAACAATTTACATAGAGCCAATGTGCTAATTAAAGTATAAAACCAAAATTAATCAAATGTGTACTTTAAAAAACTAAGTAGAATATTAAAATATTTTATTTTTTTAATTACCTAACTTTATTTTCATAAGCCCCAAAGAACAGATGTTGTCTGGAACACCATTCCGTTAAGACAAATTCCAATGCCGATTTACCTGTAGGACCGGGAACACTTGATAAAAAATCTAAAACAGCTGGCATCTGATGATGAACAAGATGAGCAAACACCATAACGAGACTCTAAATTAAAACGTTTTAATTTTTTATAAGGAATGATATTTTACTTATATTAAAAGTTTACTTTTATAAAATCTTGATAGAGAAATATTTGAAAAAGTTTAATTTTTTTACATTTTAAGCAAGACAAACAAATTTTGATAATTTAATAATACATCTGTATATCTTTTAATATGGACATTCTATAATAAAGTCTACTAAAATTTTTATAATATAGCAAATAGTTGAAGTATAAAAAACATTGTCTTTGAAATTAGATATAAAACTGTCTCAATCTATACTTAATGAATTATCATCATCTTAAACAGAAAAAAGTAAACTACAGATTAATTTTAGTTTATTTCATTCATTAATTTACATTATTCAACTTGTTAGGTTGCCCATCATAGAGCAAAATAAGATTTCATGAAACTAAGATAAATATGGAATTTAGCTACTCACTATATCTCAACAGAAAAATATGATTAACAATATTATAAATTGAAGACTAAATAAAAATAAAAATTTGATGCCTTCTTACATCTTTTACAACCAAAAGAACATAATTAACATTGACAGAGCTAGAATTTTTTTTACAATAAATGCATGAATTTAAAATTTCTCTCTATAATTTATTTATCAATGATAAATTTTTTAAATTTTGGAATTCATTCTCTAATGATGTATAATAAATCAAAGCTGATTAATATTCATATCAAATGTATAATTTTATTTAAGAAAATTGGAGTGAAAATAAAATATAAACTTATTTTGTAATACAGTAATACTTTGACTTACACTACCCGGAGTTACGCGATTTTCGCATCTTGTCGATTCATCTTTTGTTTGAGTGCCAAGCAACTCTTGATTACTCACTCCCCCCACACTATTGTTCAGCTTACATGTTCGGCCGTGTCGCATGGAATCAACACATAGCTACAATTTATTTTGTGTTATTTATCTCTGTATTTGTTATATGTATGGAGACTTGAAAGACTATACTATGTCATCTAAACGAAATAGAACTGATTCTTCTGCATCAAACAAGAAAAGAAAAACTTTATCTTTGGAATGTAAAGTTAACATTATTAAAGACTTCAATACAAAAATGAAAATTTGTGAATTGGCAAAGAAGTTTGATCTACCGGAATCAATAGTCAGAACAATTATAAAAGGTAAAAAATTTTCTCAAAACTGTAAAAAGTGCTCAATCTTTAAATTCAAGCATCATTCGTAAATGTTACAGTATTATCCCTGAGATGGAAACAATGTTAAAATTATGGTGTGATAATCAAGTAAATGTGAAACATTGTATAATAATATAATTTGTTATACATATGTATTATCTAAGATTTTATTAAACAGTTTTTCTAAATTATTGTTTTCTTTAGTCTCCAGCCCAATTAAAAATTATTTGTATGCATTTATATGCGAAATTATACCCCAACTTATGCGAATTTGACTTATGCAGTTATCTCTCAGTCCCACCTATTGTGTAAGTTTGGAGTATTACTATATATCTTAGTTGTTATATGTAATATATATAACATATTACATAAACATAAAATATATATTTATAAGAAGAAAAAATTTTTTCTTCTTATATATACTGTAAGGTCTCTTTTTATGCGATTTTGAAGTTGTGTGGTTTGTATTTCATCCAAAAATTTCTTGGACAAACATACATATAGGCTTGTTTAGGAAGCCTGCATATAGACAGTCTCCAAAAATCGTGGAACGCTCAAAGCTCACTCCATTTGTTCCACTGACATATAATGTTTATGGATGTAAACGACAGCTAGATCTAACTTAATCGCTTTAGTTCCTAGCAATTTTTTATATAAATGTAATTAAACATAAAAAATACTTAAAACTGAAAAAAAAGAAAGAAATGCGTTAATTTTGAAGAAAAAGCTTCAAAGTTTAACTTCCTTTGTCTCGCCCTTCTGTGAAATTTAACACCGATGAGTCATTGTTTACACATCTGGATGACCTTGAACACAGCTGGAGTTGGATTTCCCGGGGCATTCTCATAGACGTCGCGGGAGGACAAGGGTTTAAAGTAGGGTGAACACTAGCTGGCCGTATATTTTTAAATATTTTTTAAAAATTTGGAGACTTAAAAAACATTCCAAAAATTCAAAAAAAAATTCAAAAATGGCCTTAAGGACCGTGTTTTATGTAATGCTATATAACCTGCCCTAGTTAACTCGGGCCAGGAACTGAAAGGGTTTTAATTAACTCTTCACATCCAGATGTCAATGATTTGTTTTTAGAGTAAGCTTTTGCAATTTGGGATTCCCCTTGTATTACTTTTCAATAAAATAAACTGAATTAAGTTTGAATACAAGTTTATTTTAAGCTTTTATATGAATTTCTTTCAGACATTCGAAGTAATTTATTAAGCAGCCTATTTCTTTTAATTTCTGCAAACTTTTTTATGCGATTTTAAGTTAATTTTAACTCGTTGTTTTGGTTTTATGCGATTTTAGAAAATTACGGAACGTATCCCTACTTTTTCAAGACAAGTAAAGTCTTTTTTTATGTGAATTTTTTATATGCGCTTTTCTGTAGAATGTATCCACCACATAAAACGAGACCTTACAGTATACATATTTTAATATGACTTCTAATCTATTTTATATAAATACAAGAAAGGCATTAAAAGTGAATATAAAAATACCTGAATAACTGTCAATGTTTCAGTCTGTTGCATTTTACTGAGTACAGCTCTTAACAACAACTCTGTATTTTCTCCTAATGTTCCACCAGCTTTAAATATGAGAGTAGAAACTAATCGCCCAACATATGCTGCTGATGATTCTGATGTTTTAGGATCCAACAAATGTTGAGCAACCTATTTGAAGTTTTGTATCAAGTTCACAATATAATAATTTTAAATTTTAGCAATTTAAAATCTCAAATTTTAATAGTATATAATGTAAAGTATATATCATTATGAAGTTGAATGTAAATTTAAATCTAATAAAAAAGAAGAAAGTATCACAAATATATTAATACCTGAACAACATAAATAAGACCACTGCAACCAGTGTCATCATGCCATGCAACCACTTGGTCTAATGATACTGATACATAGGCACGTAAACACTCGCCACCATTCTGGAAATAATGACGTCAAAATTTAAATTTATAAAAATAAAATCTTAAATCTGTCCTTATTAAAAGTAATATTAACTTGAAGTGTGGTATTATCATCTGTATGAAGAATACAATGAACAGCAGCAGGAAATGCTGATGTTAATAATGGTTCTGGAAGAGGTCTGGAACTATTCCTTACTAAAGTTTGTAAGATATCCAATGCTACCTATAAGAAAATATATGATAGATAAGTATATAACAAGAATAAATTTAAATTATATTTAAAAATAAAAATACAGTAGAGAGGTTCAAAATTTATTGTGCAGTTTAACAAGGGGACTTTACGGTCTCGGAAATTCAGTTTGGGATGAGATTTCGCAGGTTAGTAGTATACCTCAAGGGTGTCCATCCAGAAGAATTGTAAAGTGCACTAGTCAGAAGATTCCAAGAAAAAGGGCTCTGAAATTTTAAGCACAGTTCATATATTGCTCAATTTCACACTATGGCAGCACAGCAAAATGGCTGAGTCTGTAGCGAACTCACTTGCCATGCAAGCGATCTAGATCCTACCGTCGGCTAACTTTTTTTTTTTTTTTTAATTGCTTTAAAAATTATAACAAGTTTTTAATAAAGTTAATGACCTAAAAATATTATCAATTAAATCATAAATAATTTTATTTTATTTATCAAATGACTGTTACAGCCAATTAAAATGTGAATTAAAGATATTTTATTTTTAAAAATTTTTATTTTATTTTTATTTTTGTTCAACCTTGTGACGTCTATTTTTATAGACAGGTAAAAAATCTAATAAAGCGTATACAAAATTGCTCTTATCTGATTGAAAATAATAGAAAAATAAATTCGCATAAAGACTGTATAAAAATATAATCAATAATGCATCATCAACTGTCATTGCCAATTTTTAATGAAATGATCCGGTATGCCTGGTATGCTTCCAGGCTTTCTGATGAAAGAGAAATTTCCATGAATGTAAACGAAGTATGTTTTCCAATAGATCTTTTAAAAGAAGGTTGTTCGTGTAAACAATCACCCTTCATAAATTGTGCAAGATGTCAAAATAGTTTTGTTTTCAATGTTTTTATGATAATTATAATTCTGGTACTTGTGTGTAAAATAAAACATTAACTAATAAAGACAATATTGTAAAAATTTTTATATAAATAAATCCCTTTTCGAAAATTTGTTATAGTGGTAATTAAAGTTTTAATTTATCTCCATTAAAAATGCATTTGAAATTATTCAACTTTTTAAAAATAAAATATTATCTTTATTTTAAAGTTTAATTAGCTGTAACAGTCATTTCATAAATAAAATAAAATTATTTATGATTTAATTGATAATATTTTTAGGTCATTAACTTTATTAAAAAGTTGTTATAATTTTTAAAGCAATTTAAAAAAAAAAAAAAAAAAGTTAGCCGACGGTAGGATCTAGATCGCTTGCATGGCAAGTGAGTTCGCTACAGACTCAGCCATTTCGCTGTGCTGCCATAGTGTAAAATTGACCAGTATATGAGCTGCGCTTAAAACTTTAGAACCCTTTTTCTCAGAAACTTCTGGCTAGTGCGCTTTACAATTTTTCTGGGTGGACACATATGAGGTATACTACTAATCTGCAAAATCTCATCCTGAACTGAATTTCTGAGACTGTAAGGTCACCTTATAAGATAAAGAATGTTGGGTTTCAGATACTACTATACAGTGTCAAATTACATTACTGTAGTCAAACAGCATGAAACAATTATTAAACATTAGCAACTACAAGACAAAGTATTCAAACATCTACTATGACAATTTTTATAGAAAATATTAGTAATAAAAATATTCCAATATCAAATGTAAATTGTATAAAGCGGTATTAATGTAATTACTATTTATGCTAAAAAGAGAAGATTACAATGTGGTCCATGAAGATAATACTGTTTGTATGGATAGAGCTTGGTATAAAACTTTATTTAGACAAAGGAGAAAGCAACCTCTCACTTTTAAGAAGAACTAAAGTTAAAAAGTTTCAAGCAACTTATGAGTAAGTTTTGCATAACTTTTCAAGGAAAACCATGTGATTTGGCAGAAATGTACCTTATTCATATTTGCAAGATTGCTGGTTTGCATTTTAATGAGTAGACTTTTAATTATAACTAATATGTAATAATGAAAAACAGTTCACAAGAGAAAACTATTTTATAAATAAAGAGCCTTTTTATTTATAAAAGCAAATTCAAGTAAAGTTGCATTTTACAGGTTTTTTTCCTTATATCAAAATTAAGCTATAATTTATCATCTCCATAGCATTAAAATTAATCTGTTTGGATCATTCTGTGTCAAATCTCATGCTGATGCTATGTCAGGATTACACAGAATACTGTTAGATCCTGTGTGAGAATTCTGCACTGTGTGCATAGCAAGCACTATATAAAGTTAGCATTAACTTTTAGTTTATATCAATTGTTGATTATAAAAATAAAGCAATTCTTTAAGGTCAGTCAGATATTAAAAATTTGGTTTACAAATATTCTGTTTCATAATTACAGGTAAGTATTCTTCAAGTAATATCTAACTTAACTTTTTGAGTTTGGAAAATTGCATGAATATGTTACAATATCTACTTTTGATTACCTTGACTTTCTCAGGAAAAGATGATCATTCATATTTTAGAAATTAGATTCATCAAAAAAATATACTGATCAATGTAAAAATTGTTAAAAACTTTTAAATTCAAACTCAATCTACGAATTATCCATTTAATTTTAACTTTCAAAAAAAAAAAAAAAAAAAAAAAAGAAAAGANAAATATGACACAAAGTTATACGAATTACTGTATATTGAATATTTCAAGTAAAATTTCTATTTTGAAAATAACAAAAGTTTCATCTAGAATAAGAAAATTAATATATCAGTGGCTAATAGATTCTACACACAACAGATAGTGGCATTAAAACAAAAATAAAAGTTATATTGATATAGAGTGGAAGAAAAAAAAACAGATTGTCATAATTTTTTATTTATTTATTAATACTGATTTAAAATTTAATATGAAAAACAAAAAGCTGAAGAATATTAATGCTTTTTTATGAAGAGTAAACTGGAGCTAAATATTTGAATTAAATGGTATTTAACCTGTCCCGTGTTTTTCCTGAATATTTTCATGTTGACCTCATTTAACTTGACCCGTCGACTCTGAATATATTCATTTCTGCATTAAAATGTTTTTGATACTAGATGTTGCTGTGTCATAATATTTATATTAAAACGAACTTTCGAAACAATATTTTTGTTTTTATATTTATACTATATCTATTTTTTTTGTAAAAAATAAAAAAATAATTTCAGACGATAAGATAGCCATGATTACTTTTTTAAAAACATGTAATTTTTGTTAGGCTTAACATTGACAAAATTCAACATGGTGTCACAGGCAATGGAAAAGAATTTCAACATCAGATAGGTTAAATTCAAAATGTTTGTCTTGGATTTAAAAAATTTGCTGATTTAAATTATTGAAAACTAAGGCATAGGAGATGACATTGCTTTGAAATAATATATTAATTTAAAAAGTTTTATATAATTCAAATTTAGACAAACTGATTTTACAAATATTGATAAAAACAATTCTCAATAACTGGCATTTCCAGCTGTTTCAAATAAAATCATTTTGAACTTATCTTACTGAACAATGACTTGCATGCACAGGATTGATAATGAATAATTTGAATAAGAATAAAGAAGAATTATTAAATAATGTCACAAGGAAAAAAGAAATATAACTAAATATCAATCATAGATGGCAAATACCTATGATCTTATTTGTAATGACTAAGCGTTAAGATTTGTGTTCTCAACAATATCTCAATACATATTAAGTACAATAATAATATTATAAAATAAAATGCAAACTTACTCCTTGTAATCCCATAGGTATTTTATCAACAGGAGCATGAAGTATGGAAACCAATGTAGGAACTAATCTTTGTTGCAAAAGATTTTGACAGACAGCATTTTGTGCTAACTCTTTGAAGACATCTTGAGATAAAGATACTAAAATAGGATCTGTAAAAGAATAGTCAAATTAAAATTTATGTAAACATTTGAAATTAGAATTAAATAAATTTTAAATTTTTGTATGTATATATTAAATTTTAATTGAATAATTGAAAAATCAATAAACTCTATTCAAATAAAAGTAAACAAAAAGTATTTCCATTTAATTTTAATATTTTATATGAATTATTACACTTTTTAGTTTTATAACAATACAAATCAAATTAATCAGATTTAATTGTATATTAATGTAAATTCCTCTTATTATAATCACATATCAGTCATTTACCATCATCACAATTAGCAAACCAAAATTCAAAGTTAAAGTATACTTATAAAATTTTGGTTATTGTGATCAAATTTTTTATTATTATTCTTGTTAAGTCACAACTGGATGTTTAAAACCAAAATAAAGTTTCAACTTACTTCTTGAAGTAAGTTAAACACACACATTGTCTGCTCATACATTAATATGGGCAGCCAATGCACCAAGAAAAGCACCAAACTTGGCCAATATAAAATGTGTTTTGTGATCTGCCAAAAACAGAAATATGAAAATAAAGAAACATATTCAAGTTAATTTTCTGTTTGAGAAAAAATAAGCATATTTAATAAACTTTTGAAAAAATAAAGCAAAGTATGAATTCTAGAATAGGGTTTCAAATAAGTAAATATATTAAAAATGAAGCCAAACTTTCATGAAAGATTTCTCTGCTTACTAAATAGTATCCTGATTTAACAAGAAAAATTAGCACTAAACTTAGTTAAATTGATATTACCTGGAATAGCATAATAGCTTAATGTAAAAGGAAAAGAAAGCTTAAAAAAACATGCAGAAACATTTGCAAACTTTTATATTAAAATTTAAATTTATTCCTAGTAACATTGGTTTAAGTCAATTGTTCTCAAACTATGGGATATACTTCATTAGTGATATAAACACTCTTTATAGGGGATACAAAGAAAATTATCATTGCAATTATGGCTACAATTTATTAATTACATTGATTAATGTTTGATTTCATTAAGTAACAAGTATCTCTGTGTGCCATTTTATTTTATTTTATTTTTTGTTTTGTTCAAAAACTAATTGTGTACTATCAAAATCTTAGTTTTATTAAAAACTAAAATATATCTTGAGTGAAAAATAAGTCAATATGCTTTTACAAAAAGTATAGACACATGATAATTTTTATTTACAAAAACAGGAGCTTACTCTAAGAAGTTTGAGAATCATTGAATTAAGTGCTATACTTTTCATGTTTTCTCTCTCTTAGTTTTCTGTTGATATCCTGATTTGTTTGAATATTTTGAATGAAACAAAATTAAATGTTAGAGTCAGTGGCATGCCATCCATGGAAACTGTGGAAGCACCACTTCCCTTGTATTTTCTAAAATATAAATACATATTATGCGATTATTTTCATATTTTAATGTGCTTTGAATTAATTAAAATTAATATTTTATTATAACCCATTATGTATCTTATTACAAATTTCTATACTACATGTGAAAAAAAAAATGATAAGATTGCTATTGTATTGGGTTGTTTGGAAAGTAAGTTCGTTTTTTTTCTGTGGAAAAAAACGCAATATTCTTATAATAAATAAATATTTTGTTGAATTATATGTTGACCATTTTGGTCAAATATCTGTTGTCATCGTTTCTGGTAGTGGCACGATTTCACATTCATAAAAGTTTTGATCGTTTCTTACAAAAAACCGATTTAAGTGATTTTTGACATTGTCATTTCAAGTAAATGTCTTACAGTTAAAAAAAATTGTACAGACCAGAACAAGTAATAATCTGAGTGTGCTCTATCTGGCAAATACGGTTGGTGTGATAGCAGGTCCCATCTAAGTTATAACAGTTTCTGACGAGTTACCAAACTTGTGTGAAATTTGACATTATTGTGGTAAAACACTACACCTGTTTTTTTTTTTCAATTCTGGCTGGCTTTTTCTGTTTGATGATATTACGCAATTTGTTTACTCGAATGCAGTACACTTTCGAATCAATTGTTAAATTGTCTGGTAAAAGCTCCAAAAAAAATTTCCTTAATATCCCACCAAATAGAGCATTTCTCTTTAAGAACTCGTGGAATTCATATATCGAGCTTTGAAACGAAACCAATTTGTTTCAAGTACTCATAAACAGTTCAATTTGACAAATTTAATCTCTTAGTGATTTCACGTGTTGTTATTCCGCAGTTTGCTTCAATCGGTACTTTTATTTTGTTTTCATTGGCTTCAATTGGCCATCCATAACGTGGTGCATCTTCAATACTGAAATTGCGAGAACGAAATTTTGTAAACCAGTTTTGGCACTGTCGTTCTGTCAACACATCTCCACCATACATGTCACACGATTTTTTTCTTGCTTGAACGGCATTTTTATTTTTTTGGTAATAAAAAAGCAAAATATGCCGAAGATGCTTTCGATCTGCCATATTTGATGGGACACAAAAAATAAACAATTGCACGAAATCAAACAAAATTTTTTACAAATAAGCCATAAAATGCTAGCTGTCAAAATATATAATGATAATATGGTTTAGAACGAAAATGGCGGGAAAAATACCACTAATCCGTCTAGTAGTAAAAAAAACGAACTTACTTTCCGAACAACCCAATATATTTGAATATAAATTCAGATATGCATATTCCCAATGGAAGTGCTGTATTGTTGAATACGGAACAGCTTCCATGGTGAAAATATTTGAATGGTGTAAAACAGCCAATTATATGCATTCGCACATACACTTTACAGAGCACCAACCTCACACAGTTTAGCTCATGGATGCTACACACCAAAATATCATATAATGCTTCCAATGATTCTATCCAAAAATGGCACAGCTTCCCTATCATCAAATGTCACTGCACGCCACTGGTAAGAGCTGTACTACTTTATTACAGTTAACATTAATTAATTAAAAAGAAATATTTTAAAAAATAAATATAAATACAAACCACTATTATGCTTAAGAAAAGCAGCTATAGCTAAAGATAACACCCTCTCTTCTATGCTGGCCATAAAATCTTTATCTACCTGTAAGAAAATCAAATAATCTGAAGTCACTTTGATCTGATCATGAGAACTTTCATAAAATTTTGGTAGATAATTTCTGAATATCTTTTTTATTTAAGAAAAATAAAACAACTTTCATATCATCTCTAAAACATAATAATGACAAATTAAAATGGCAAAATAATGCTTTTAAACCTAAGTTAGTTGGATGACTTATATGACTTCTTATTTAGTAATAAAAATTAGTCACATAATTTAACAGAGAAAAAAATATATATATATAAACAACATTAATGTGAAGGTATCAGAAATAATTTAGCTATGAAACAATACTATATATATATAGTATTGTTTCATAGCTAAATTATTTCTGATACCTTCACATTAATGTTGTTTATTTTATATGTGTATATAAAATAATATAATACAGTAAACACTAATTTTAGCATTACAGCAAATCAAGTGCCAAAAGCATCAAAAATTCAAAATTATCCATTTTGAAAATTAAAACTAGTTTTCTATAAGTTTATCATTTGGCAGTAGTTTGTATTGTTTGACAATATCAATTTTTTTTTCTATTTTCTTTTTTATCTTTTAACCACTTCAACTTAATCTTGAGCACATTCCACACACACTAGTTATAATTAAACAATTGAATTATCTAGACAACAGTCACTAAAATTGTGAAACCTGTGATAATTTCATTCATGCCCTAGGTATTTAGAAAACACATTCTGGAAAAATCTCCAAAACTATGTATTCTACAAATCAGCAGGCTACATTACTTTCTCTCTTTTTAGCTTAATTTTTAAAATGGGATATTTACTAGCATCAAATTAGCCAAATTTATACTAAAAATTTTGAATTAATCTGACTTGACTATCTTTTGGCATCTTTCTTAAAACACTTCTTGAACTTAATCATAAAAATTTGGTTCTGATTTACCTATGATTGATTTATTTTTTTAAATAAATAAAATTTGTTTTGCCATCCAACACATTTCCAGTTCTTTTATAAGGATTTTTACTAATAAATATAGTTTACAATCATATGCAGTATTTAGTTTTTAAAGAGTCAAGCATTAGAGCATAATAATTGTGGTGTCTCATCTGATCTTATTACTGTTAATCTCCAAGATTTCAATTGGTCAAAAATTATTTACTAATATAAATCCATTTAATGCTAAATATAATTGAAAAAAATCAACTGATTTTTTTTGTAAATGCTACTTCATTTATTTTCTATTATTGTTCATATATTTGAATATATCTTTATATAATATTTGAAAGTTAAAGAAAATCAAATTTTTCATCCAAACGGTTCATCTACTTTTATTCAATGAATAACTTTCATTTAAAATGAAAAGCATATTACCAGTGGTGTTTCTGATTATGCAGTGATGGAAAATATCCATTTTATAAAGCATCATTATATAAAAAATTTCCTGTAATATTTTATTATTCATATTGAAAAATTCACAAAACTTAGCATCATCTATACAAATTAATATCATACTTAAGAGTTTATAATGATATAAAATAAAATTGTTCATCATTTTAGGTTGTTAAATAAAGGATCCTAAGAAAAAGATGTTTACAGTGAAATATCTGACCATTTCTTTTGTTTAATAAAAAACATTGGTTTTCTGAAATAAACAGTGGTTTGATTTATTTATTTATTGATATCCAAGTTACTATTAAATCAATAAAAAGGTATTTTTCACAAAGAAATAAACAATAAAAGATCAGAATGAAATAGCAATTATTCTTTATTTCTAAGACAATTTAATCTCAATCTGATCACTTTAAAATTATTTTTGACAACCAAATAACTACTCAATGTTTAGTTTCAATTTTTCCTTACTTTCAAAAGTTGTAAAATGATACCAACTACACACAACAGTCTGCTTAAAATTTATGGATAAATAGATATTTATTAGGTTTCTAATAGAATTTGTTGTAAAAATAATGTATAAATATGAATGTTTGTAACATTGTCTCTCAATTATTTAAACAATTATAGAGAAAATGAACAAACTAAGGAATAAAGCAATAAAAAAAATTACTTTTCATAATAATTCAATTTAAAACATACTTACTGATAAAGCAATAGTAATAGATTCCATAACTAATGCAAGAACTTCAGATGAAAATTGAGTTGCAAGATTTATTAGTCCTTCCATAACTGGAGGTAAATAAGGAATTAAAATTGAAGTTTGTTGTGAAGCCTTCAGATGTTCACAAAATCTAAAAATAAATAATTTGCCATTTGTATTATATCAAAAACTCAAAACATTCAAAAATATTCATTCATATATTATTATTATTATTAAATGTACTTACCCCCAAACTGCTCTGACAGCAGATACTCTAACACTAGAAGGTTGGGATGGCTGAATTCCATTAACAGTTGCTTGTAAAAACCTTAAAAGAAATTAATTTACATTTTTTATGATCAATATAGTAGTAATAAAATAATAACAAGAATCAGCAATATAGCAAATAATAACAAGAATCAGCAATATTTCAGTAATGCAACTTTCAAAAATACTGCTCAGAAAAAATAATTTATAGATAATTTATTTTAAAAAATTACTATTAAGTCATTAATTCTGAGTAATTTTGTATAAAAAAAATTTTTAAATAGTTTTAATTTGTAAATTTATTACTTAAAATTAAAAACGTTTGGGAATAAAAATAAATTCACTTCATAGTTTTGTAAATTTGTTGCCTCTCATTTTTCAAAAACTTAATTTGATATGTCAGGTTGTTAAACATTTCAATTTTTTCCAGAAACACCTGGAAAAAAATGTTCTAGAACAGTGTTTTTCAACCTGTGGGTAGCGACCCCCAGGGGGTCACAAAGCCTTACACAGGGGGTCGCAGGTAAAAGAAAAAGACAAGTGTTTGTAGGTTCTACACTACAATAAATAAAACTACAATTTCAGTGAGAAGGCTTTGCGTTTTTATTTTAAAGTACAATTGGTTGTTTGATTGATATTTAGGTCTCAACAGAAAGAAAATTAATTAAATACGTAGTTTTTAAAATCACTGATATAGTTTCAATATGGCCCGGGGGGTCGCCAGAATTCTTTTAACTTGTAAAGGAGTCGCATATTCAAGAAGGTTGAAAAACACTGTTCTAGAACATTTGATTTGGGTATATAAGTAGAGTAACCAGAGGCTTTCATCGTATATTTCATTGAAAATAGACTTGTCAGCAATATCTGATAATATGAAACTTTGAAAGAACACATTTGTAAGCTGTTACTCTCTCACTTCAAAGTGACCACAAAGCAACAATGGCTTATGATCTCATCTACAAGGCATTTGGCAAAGACATCCAACAATCAGACCTGCTACAATTGATTCAAGAAATTCAAAGACGGAGATTTTGCATTTCAAGATGAATCCCATCCAAGCAGTAATTCCACCATTGATGATGATGATCTCCTAACACTGATAGATGATAGATAATCCACAGTTGACCATCAGAGATTTAGCACAACTTGAGTGTTCCCATATACTCCAAAAATTGACAAAATCTGATACCACCACAACAATGTGCCAGCACAAAGAGCAAAGATAACCTTAGAGAAGCTGACCAGTCTTGCCTGGGAGGTTCTACTTCATCCCTCTTGCAGTCCACACTTGGCAACAACCAACTACCATTTATTTCACATCCTGCAGAACCATATTGTCAATATAATGTTCAATGTGAGAACAACACTAGAGAACTTTCTTCAAAGAAAATCTCCAATTATTCAATGCATGATGGATTGATAGTTTGCAGCAAAGGTACTGAGATGAGATTGTGAACAAATGTGTCACTAGTGAGGGAAAGTACTTTGAATAAATTTGTTTTTGCTTTCTACGAAAAAAAACGTGTGTTTTTCTGACTAAAAAAACAGCGGATTTAAGCTTATACACCTATGTATATATAATGTAATATAAGTAGAATATGATTGATAATGAATCAGATTACATAAATTTTATGAAGTAAAATTAATTTTATTTTGTAAATAAAATTAAATTCATTTAAAATTTCAAAAATTTTGAAACATCTTTATTCCTAACATTAAAAATTTCTTGTAGGTAAAAAGTTTAACAAAGAGTAAACATATTCAATTATGATAGAATATGTAGATATTAACTTACACATGGAAAGAATATGATATATGACATCTACATTATAAACTAGAAAAGTAAAAATCCCATAACAATTATTTAACTTTACATATTATTGGAAAATAATTACATTTAAAAATTTAATCTAATTTTCAGTGTTTATTATCAATTTTTATAAGTAGCATTAATAATTTAAATTCTGTAAAATTAAGCCAAGTTCACATAGCCAATAGAACCTAACCAATAACAATAGTGTCTTATTATATTTGTTCATTAAAGTGTTCATTCTGCCACTACATTTTCTTATAAAAACTTGCATAATTTATAACTTATGTATTATTTTTTTTTTTTTTTATAGATTTCCTTTTTTACACAATACATACAATATGCATTTAAGGCAAAAATGTTAATCCTTTGACATTAAACAGTAAGGAACTATTATAATAATTACAAAGTTTAATTCTCATAGTTACAAGACAAATTCAATAAATGCAAAATTTCATTCTAGCTATTATCACCATTTTTTACATATGTCTAGATAAAACTAGAGAAATAATAAAAACCATGATCTTTCTTTAATGTCTATTATTAACAAGATGTTAAAGATGGAGGAAAGTTTTTCTCCTCTGTCTTATTTGATATTGCAGAAACAGTGAGAAGTATGTCCTACTTGTCAATTCATTATAATGACTAAATGTTGAATCTTGCCCATGATGAAAACAAAGATAATTAAAGTGAATACTTTACAAACAAATGACAAAAACCTGTGTTCAAAAATACTCTGTGTCCTGAAACTTTTTACTTATCAAATTTTTTAAAAGCAGTCTCAAACTCTGAGCTTTAAACAGCAATTCTTTTATTGATTTCATCACTTTATATGCAGTGATTAATTCTGTAGATTAAATAAATTATCATTAATAAATTAATCATTAATAAATTATCATTAATAAATTATANGTTTGGGAATAAAAATAAATTCACTTCATAGTTTTGTAAATTTGTTGCCTCTCATTTTTCAAAAACTTAATTTGATATGTCAGGTTGTTAAACATTTCAATTTTTTCCAGAAACACCTGGAAAAAAATGTTCTAGAACAGTGTTTTTCAACCTGTGGGTAGCGACCCCCAGGGGGTCACAAAGCCTTACACAGGGGGTCGCAGGTAAAAGAAAAAGACAAGTGTTTGTAGGTTCTACACTACAATAAATAAAACTACAATTTCAGTGAGAAGGCTTTGCGTTTTTATTTTAAAGTACAATTGGTTGTTTGATTGATATTTAGGTCTCAACAGAAAGAAAATTAATTAAATACGTAGTTTTTAAAATCACTGATATAGTTTCAATATGGCCCGGGGGGTCGCCAGAATTCTTTTAACTTGTAAAGGAGTCGCATATTCAAGAAGGTTGAAAAACACTGTTCTAGAACATTTGATTTGGGTATATAAGTAGAGTAACCAGAGGCTTTCATCGTATATTTCATTGAAAATAGACTTGTCAGCAATATCTGATAATATGAAACTTTGAAAGAACACATTTGTAAGCTGTTACTCTCTCACTTCAAAGTGACCACAAAGCAACAATGGCTTATGATCTCATCTACAAGGCATTTGGCAAAGACATCCAACAATCAGACCTGCTACAATTGATTCAAGAAATTCAAAGACGGAGATTTTGCATTTCAAGATGAATCCCATCCAAGCAGTAATTCCACCATTGATGATGATGATCTCCTAACACTGATAGATGATAGATAATCCACAGTTGACCATCAGAGATTTAGCACAACTTGAGTGTTCCCATATACTCCAAAAATTGACAAAATCTGATACCACCACAACAATGTGCCAGCACAAAGAGCAAAGATAACCTTAGAGAAGCTGACCAGTCTTGCCTGGGAGGTTCTACTTCATCCCTCTTGCAGTCCACACTTGGCAACAACCAACTACCATTTATTTCACATCCTGCAGAACCATATTGTCAATATAATGTTCAATGTGAGAACAACACTAGAGAACTTTCTTCAAAGAAAATCTCCAATTATTCAATGCATGATGGATTGATAGTTTGCAGCAAAGGTACTGAGATGAGATTGTGAACAAATGTGTCACTAGTGAGGGAAAGTACTTTGAATAAATTTGTTTTTGCTTTCTACGAAAAAAAACGTGTGTTTTTCTGACTAAAAAAACAGCGGATTTAAGCTTATACACCTATGTATATATAATGTAATATAAGTAGAATATGATTGATAATGAATCAGATTACATAAATTTTATGAAGTAAAATTAATTTTATTTTGTAAATAAAATTAAATTCATTTAAAATTTCAAAAATTTTGAAACATCTTTATTCCTAACATTAAAAATTTCTTGTAGGTAAAAAGTTTAACAAAGAGTAAACATATTCAATTATGATAGAATATGTAGATATTAACTTACACATGGAAAGAATATGATATATGACATCTACATTATAAACTAGAAAAGTAAAAATCCCATAACAATTATTTAACTTTACATATTATTGGAAAATAATTACATTTAAAAATTTAATCTAATTTTCAGTGTTTATTATCAATTTTTATAAGTAGCATTAATAATTTAAATTCTGTAAAATTAAGCCAAGTTCACATAGCCAATAGAACCTAACCAATAACAATAGTGTCTTATTATATTTGTTCATTAAAGTGTTCATTCTGCCACTACATTTTCTTATAAAAACTTGCATAATTTATAACTTATGTATTATTTTTTTTTTTTTATATATATTTNGATTCAAGGGGCATAGATGTCAAATTAGCTCAGGTGTTCTGTTTTTAATTGAGCACCACTTATATTTGTTGCTTAAGGCATTCAAATGGAATACAGTTCCAAACAAACTAAATGTTCATATTTTTGAAAAAAATGCATGAAGTTTGTTCAGAACAATATTTCATTTTGAAGGTCCCAAGTAACAAAATTTATAAACTGCCTGAAGATGAAACACAAAAGCTTCAAAAATGTTAACCTGCAGTTTTTAATCACTTCCTAAAAAGTGAGTTTCAGACACAGTAATAGCTTATAATTTAAAAATAAATTTTAATTTCTAATTTTAAGAATAAATTTCCTAAATTTTAAATTTTTTTGATTACTAAAAGCATTTGGAAATCCTAAAAATAGTACTTTACATTTCCCAATAATCTTAAATTAAAATCAAAATACTGTAAATATAAGCTTGAAATTCCTAAAAACTAAATTTTTAACATAATTTTGACCATGAGCAGTTTTCTCTTCATTTATATTTAGTTTGCAACAACTCAGTTAAGTTGTATTTATATTCATTTTAAGATATTTATTATTTTTAAATTTTTCTTAATC